GGAGGTGGTGAGCTCGGAGCCACACACACCCAAGTGCAAGCCCTGGTGCCCCATCGTTTACGAGCTACTTGATCTTAGGGACATTACTTAGTCTTGTACTTAATCCCCCTTCTTATCCATGGGGAACGCATTCCAAGACCCCAGTGGATACCTGACATCACGGATAAGTATTAAACCCTATAGATACTGTTTTTCTTGTGGGTACACACCTTTTCACCTAACGAAGCACTTCATGGCTTCTTTTTGGCATATCCGAATTGCCAGCATCACTAGCTTGTGCTTTGGATCCGTTATTCAAAATAAGGGTGACTTAAACACGAAGGCTGAGATCCTGATACAGCCAGTCTGATCACCGAGATGGCTACTGAGTGCCTCGTGGGCAGGGCGTGTAGCCAGCACGGATACACTGGACACTGATTCACATCTGGGCACGAAGGAGCAGCATGGAGCGAGGTTTCATCATTTTACTCAGAACAGTGAGCAATTTAAAGTTTATGAATTGTTTATTTCTGTAATATTTTTTGGTCTGTGGTTGATTTCAAGTAACTGAAACCAGGGAAAATGACACCGCGGATAAGCAGGGACTACCGTACAACTAAAAAGTGATACTGAGGGATTCAAAACAGGCCTGGGTCTGCCTGATTTAAACACCCCCAAACATTTTGCCAGCTTATACAGCACCTCCTAATCTGTACCCACATAATAAACCCTTGGTAATGAATACAGTAATTAATAACTTCCCAGATGGGAGTTGAGCTTGTTTTTAAATTTCTATAGTCAAATAGGTTGGGAGAATGTTACAAGAAGATTAGTTCGGAAAATAATGGTATGTCATTTATTATCAGCCTAGAACATTCAGAATTGTCATTCATAAGAAATAAGCTCATTATTAATAGAAGATTACTTTTCTTGCCTTCATGTGACTATTTTCTTAAATTAAAAATAGTCTTTTTTTTTCCAATTGCAAAAGCAATACATGTTTATCTAATACAAATTGGAAAGTAAAGATAAGCAAATAATACAAAATTAAACACACTCGTAATCCCTCCACCCAACTATAACTGCTGTAAATGCCCTTTAAACTTTTCTGGGCTTTTACGCAGATTTTTAAAAATCACACTAGACTCTTTCTTTCACCTTACAAACATCTGGTCAATAGCATTCCATGTCTAAATACATTTTTGCCTGTACTACATCAATTTTTCTATCTTCTTACTAAGGTGAATAATTGTGTTTTTAAACCACATTTGTTTGCTCAGAAGTCAGACCTACAGATAAGGAAACAACTGAAGAGCCCAGGTGTGGGGATGTGGAGAGGTTGAGTAATTCAAAACAAAGCACAAAATAGAAAAACAATTACAACCCGTCTGACAGTTTTGCGTCTGTTTCCTACGGCCTTTCTACCCACAAGTCTACTGCTGACTTCAAAGAAAAGTCAGAACACAGGGAGGTCCGGAGGATAAGGCGCAAAACCAGAATCAAGCCCACGATAAGAGATTAAAGACCCAGCATAAAAGTGCGAGCCCATGACTTGCCTTGGCCCATGGCCCCAAAACATTCATCCGAACAGAGAGCTTTCTTTGAAGTGATTGGAAGCTCCCATACCCAGATGAGTTCTCTGGTCAGAGGGAGATTTAAAAAGTGGCACAGGAAGGAGTTTGCAAAGTTGCCCCTTCCTATCTCTGGTTGGCGTATCCCTCACAAATTGTTTAAATGCTGCTTCTGTGATTTGTTGTCCAGAGATAAGTGCTTTAACTGCACTGGGTATGAGTGAGGAATTCAGCTCAGGATGGGGAGGAGGATTGTCTTGTTTCCTATGGGCGATGTGGGAAGTACAGATGCATTCGCATGGCAGTGGATTTGCACTCACGAGCATGGAGCTGAAACCTCTGCGCCTCCTTTTTGTTCAGGATGTTCAAAAGGGCATGTGGTATTTCCAAATAGGCAGTAAGGCGTGTGCATTGCTCTTGTTTATTCTACTTGTTCACTACTTGGCCACTGCTCTCTCGGTTAATAGTTTACCGCTCCTTGTGGTGTTAGGACATAAACCATCCATTTCCCCAGAGAGGGGAAGAAAATAGAAGTGTTCCCCAAATGGCAGGAGCCTTTACAACATTAGCTTACATTTCTTTTTAAGTATTTTGAAAGACAGGAGTTACATAAAATTGCTAAAAATGTACGCTTAGAATGTCTTTAGTTAGCACTTCTTTCAGGCTCCAATTTTCTGGCTTTTCACTTCACATGATAATCTTTTATGTATTTAGGATCTTTATTTTCACTTCCCCTGTCATCGTGTTTTTATTTTCTTCAAAGTTCAAAAGAATTACTTTTTCTCTACACATTTTTGTAGGTCAGTTTTCTAATCTTTACCTGAGATTTCAAGTTAAAGTTTTTACTGACAAGTCGGGATTGAGCACAAGGTCAGGGTCTGTGAGAGAACTGGAATACGCATTCCCTCCTTTACCAGAACCATGGGCCAGTTGAGGAAACAGTTAATTTTCCAACAACAACAACAAAATGAATGTGATGCTAGTTGATACGAGCTTTATAAGGACAGTCCTTCATGAAGAAGGAAAATTTGAACTGGGCCTTGTAAATGTCTGAAATTTCTAAATGTGGAAAAATAAGAAAGGATATTTTAGTAAGAATTGAGGTAACACGGTCAAAGGTGCAGAAGCAGAAAATTACAAGGTGTTTCACAGCAAAAACCTAATACATTCATTTAATTGGGGCAGATGTCTCATGTGAGAAAGGAGTGAGAGAGAAGCTTCACTAGATACGTTAGGGAACCTGGATTTTATTATGAATGCAAAAGGATTATATTTAAAAACCTTGAAATGGAAAATGGCGTGCTGAAACGTTGTGAGGACATCGATCTGACGGGAACACAGGGTGGGTGGGGTGGGGAGAGGCCGGGGGCCATAGCTTGTGTGAAAGGGCCTGAGAGAAAGAGGGCAGGCCTGAAAGAGAATGGAAATGGTGAGAATTGAAAGGATGGGACGGACTCTGGAGGTCGTGAAATGAGAACTGGTCTGATCTGCAGGAGGAAGACAGGGGAGTGTGTCGGAGGAAAGGTTAGGGGGCACATAGAAGTTTCAGGAACATTGTCACACATAAACATACTTGTACCCCTTTAACTGAGGTGCTAGGTGATATGTATACAAAGAGGTTAAGTTCATCTACAGAATGGTTAGGAAGACAGAGTAGGTATCCATGATGAGGAACCCAAAGTAGCCACAGCTAAGCATCAAAGACTAAGTGAGGCAATGCGCTCTTAGTTCAGAGAAATAGTTCCTGCAGTTTGGAGTAATGGAAGCTTCAGGGAAGAGGTTGGACACAAGCTGAACCTTGAAGTGTGGGTAGAAATTGGAGAGTGTGGGAGTAGTTAAAAGGGTGAGATGGGGGCGGGGCAGAAGCGCAGGCACAAGGTAGGGGACACAGGCGGGAGGCACTAGCCCTTCTGTTTGGAGTGCAGAGTGTGTATAAAAACACAGAGAGGTTTGGTTTCGTAAAGATTTCGAGGCTGAGTTAAAGTGCTGTAATTTAACCTGGGCAATGTCAAGCCCCTGACATTTGAGTAAGGGAGTGGCCAGTGCTAAAAGGGTATTTCGGGATGTTTAACCTGGAAAGATGGGCAGAATGTATAAAAGTAGGAAGCTAGTACTAGCAAGAGGAGTAGTTGGGTGACTTCTCGTCAAAAGAGGATGAAGAGGTAAACTAGGTTGACACTGATTATGGAAAGAGTACAGAAAAGAGACAAAGTTGTTAGCTGTAAGCCCAAGGGCAAGGGATACAGAGAGCTTTACCCAAGGTTTTAAGCCTGGGAGGCCATCATAACAATTGTGCTGTATATCAAAGTGTCAAAGTCCAGAGAGAACTATAATAGTTTGGAGGGAACCCAGAGAGTTTAGTACTAAAGAGATGGAGCCTGAGATGGCAGCCAAGTAAGCGGGTCCACAGGGTGGTTTAGAAGTGGGAGCTCGAGGCTCAGCTGGAAAACAGATTTACCATTCCAAGTTGAAAAATTCCACATAGCTCAGCAGTCGTGTGAAGTTTTTAATTAAATAATTTATTTATTCAGAAAGTGACGTATTTTCAAAAGCCCGTTTGAGAACTTATACTCTCTTGATACCGATGAATTCTCAATTGCTCTTTTGTTTTTCTTGCAAAACAGTTCAAGTTATGTGAGAAAGTGGAGAGAGCAGTGGGAGCTTTCCTCACTATTCCAGGTGTAGAAATTGTGGACATTGGGCCTCTTGTACATAATATTCTTCCCTTCAGTGGTAATAATTCATAATTTATACATCTTTCTATCAGTTGCAGCACCTAGCACAGTCTCAGTGTTTCGTGCATTGTAAGTACTCAGTGTTGGTTGATTTGCATTTTCATTGCAGTTCTCAAAGATAAAAGAGTGGACATAAGAAAAACTAACAGGCTTTCAGCCAATTTTGTAATGACAGACTCTACATAAACAAATGCAAATTTGATGTCAAATTTGAATTGCAAAAATTTTGTAAGCCAGGTCCAAGAAGTAATAACCTAGCTTCAGATCTTTACTAAAATGAAAAAAAAAATCTATTAACGACCCCTCATTCCTTGGAGTTTCAGAGACATTCAAAAGTCACAGCCTCTTGAAGAGCAGAGTCAGCAGCTCAAGTTATCAGAGTGAAGAGTGAGTGACCTTGTATTAACCCCAGGCCCAGAACAGCCAAGGCAGACCTATGTTCTTTTTTACATCTGAGACAGAAACTGGCAAGGACCTCAGTGATTGGGGAGAGGGGGTGAGATATAGGATGGAAGGACCCAGACCTCTCAAGAATAAAGCCAACCTACTATATAGTAAAGGAGGGCTATCCACAGATAATATTCATCATTCCACCTTGAACTGACAGTTGCATAAGAAAAAGGGGCATCCATGAGGGGGAAAAACATACTTCTTTTTTCCCCTTCCAAACTACTTACACCCTTTGTTTTATCTCATCCTTTCCCTGGTCTCTCAGCTGCTCGACTCATCCAGAACATGGATACTACTGCTGAGCCTTGTTCTAACTTTTTCAAATATGCCTGTGGAGGTTGGCTGAAACGCAACGTCATTCCTGAGACTAGCTCCCGTTACGGCAACTTTGACATTTTAAGAGATGAACTGGAAGTCATTTTGAAAGGTTAGTGGAGTTTCTGTCTCTGCATCAAAGATTTCTCTCTTAATATGTCCATTTTTTAAGATACAGCTCTTAGCCATTACAAGGAACATTGCACAAAATTGAAGTCGATAATCCCTCCAAGGTTTATGTGCCACCACCTGGTCACTCTGAGGGAAGTAGACTCTGAAATGGATATGTGGGCATCTCTTGGCATTCCTGCTTTTACTTGTAGGTACACAAACAGTAAAGCCCTAGCATCCCTAGAGATGGCATCTTTATGCCATTATACAGAAGAAGAAATTTAAGTGATGTCTTAAAAAAATTTAAGTGATGTCTACTGCTCTACTATCCTCCACCCTCTGTCCTCCTCTTCTAGAAGTTACTTTGTCGAAAAAACAAGTTTTGCTCTTTTCTAACATCCAAAGAAGAGCAATTCATTCAATTCATTTGGAGCATGAATAGCACAATCACACAAAGGTAATTAGTTTTCAGCCATCAAGAGGGCTATCATATTAAATTCCAAATTCCTCTGTATTATTATTTTTCTTTTTAATCTCAGTTTCAAAGAAAAGTAACTTCTCTATGCCAGAGCAGTACACATCATTGTTCACACAAAAAAGATAATCTAGTCAAAAACACTTTCTTGTAACCTGGCTAATGAAACTAACTCCCAGTTCTGCACTAGGAATAATGATCAGGTAAGGGGTTTGGTGCTTTCTGTAGGGTTTCAGCATAAGGGAGGGAGTGACTATACATACAAAGAAGCAAATTAGTTACTGAACCTGTCTTGAAAATGTTAATTGCAGCTGCAAATGAGCCATTTGTATTGATGCATTTTATTAATTGCCCAATTTCAGATGTTCTTCAGGAACCCAAAACTGAAGATATAGTAGCAGTGCAGAAAGCAAAAACATTGTACAGATCTTGTATAAATGAATGTAAGTGCCCTTAATTTTATTTCATTAAGAGTATTTATACAATATGCATAGACTTCTTAATGAATTTATTTTCATTGTTTTCAAAAGCTGCTATTGACAGCAGAGGCGGAATGCCTCTACTCCAACTTCTACAAGATATATATGAATGGCCAGTAGCAACAGAAAACTGGGAGCAAACCTATGGTAAGGCAGTTTTCCTTCTTTTTTTTAAAAGAAAATAATTTTCAATCAAATCCATGTTAGTATTGTGTTATAGTATCATATGAATGCACTAAGGCCTCTAAAGATATATTTTACCTTTCATTGCTTTAGGTACTTCTTGGACAGCCGAGAAATCCATTGCACAACTGAATTCTAAATATGGGAAAAAAGTCATTATTAATTTTTTCATTGGTACTGATGATAAGAACTCTGTGAACCATATAATTCATGTAAGTTCATGTGGCTGTCAGCCAAAGTTATCTTTAAATTGTAATAAACCTTCCACACATGTTATTGATATTTAGAAATAATGCATATTCTCATTTGAATTGCATGAGCAAGGTGGTAATAAATTTATTCTCTGTCCCCGATATCTGGATTCCCAATTTCTAAAGTATTTTCTTAATACTGTGTTTTAGACATTCGTCTCTTCTCCCTGCTTCCTTTGTTTTAGATAACTCTCCCTACATAAAATAAATGATAAGAAATGAAAGACTTCGGGCCTCTCCTATTTTAGCAAAAGAACCTAATTTCTTGGTTTGTTCATGTAAGGAGCATGATCTGGTGTACATAAGTAATGCAGGTCTGGTAACCAGAAATTCCTAATTGCTTCCAAAAAAGAACATAGAAAGGGATTTTGAACACAATTTTGGTTTACACTAAAGAATGTCTGTATTTTTTCTCAATTAAAGTAAATAAAATGCCATTCTTTTTAAAATGCCATGGCTTTGGTTAGATTTTTTTTTTAATGTAAGTCATTCATTTAGGTTTACCTGAAGTGTCACCTTAAACGAGATTAATACTTAATGAGCATACTTGGATTGGATTAAAATACCTATAAAGCTTTTACATGGTCTCCTGTAATTAACCCAAAAGTTGCAGGTCTCAGAATCATATTTATGTCACTATTGCATACATCTTCATGGCCATTTTAATTAAAATCATGAAAGGCATTGAATCCGGCTTTCTTCTACAGTGGACCCCTTTTCTGCCTTCCCACATTCTCTCCTAGGGCTCTCGAATGCCAGCACCCTGCATGATCATCATGAGGGGCGTTTTTTAAGAGGGTCAGGAGCTTGGAGAAGGAGCAGGGCCCTCCTTGTGGAGACGTCGTCTGACTTTTTACATGACTGTCCTCTGGGTGATGTTTCTTCTGTATTGGCCTGGCTCTTCCTGCTAAGATTCTTCCTTTAACCCCTAAATTCTCTGATTTTCCCCAGTACCCATCTTCTTACCTTGCAGTGCATAGGAAGCAGCCTCACAAAGCTGCGAGTGTGTCCAGGTAGTTTTCACTCGGTATAAAGGTGGGCTAGACACAGTAGAGCAGAACTGAGTTTCCTCTTTCACACACTCAGCCAGCAGCTGACTCTGCTGAAGTCCTGAGCATTGGAGAGAACCCAGGAGGCATCTCCTCCATCCCCATAAGGTAGAGGATCTCAAAAAAAATTTCTGGCAAGATTCCACTAGCCAAAACATTCTAGAGATTCCATAGAGGTTTTCCACCTTTTATTTTTTCCCATCCCAGTTAAGGGTGAGGATAGAAGAGACTGTCCCCCAAGGGAGCATATTAGAATCTCAGGAAGCTGGAATGTCCTGCAAACGTGTAATATAGAAACTCCCCAGACCTAGATTGTCACATGTTTTCGTTCACCTGCACCACCTGTTCTGCATTAAAAATCATTCCCGGTATATTTTCTGTTCCAGTTTTCCTCAAATATCTGCAGCACAACCTTCCAGATTACCTAAGTTCCTATCAGTTTAACACCTAGAAACAGTGTGGAACCATTTCCTGGTTATGGATTCACTCAGTGTCTGATTGTTACATTTATAAGCAGCAAGGACTCTAGGATCTTGCTCAGATGTAGCCATTCTCGTATTTTGACAAACTGTTCTGTATCAACTGAATGATTTATTTTCACCTTTTGTACATTTTTTATAGATTGACCAACCTCGACTTGGCCTCCCTTCCAGAGACTACTATGAATGCACTGGAATATATAAAGAGGTAAAAAAGTAAAATAAAAATGAAACTACAAAATAATTTGGTGTAAACTGATACATATTAGTCTGTTGGAAAAGTCATGACATATTTTTTCTATGTTTTGCGTTGCAAAAATGCACCATGAGATTTCCGACAGCCCAATAAAAAAAAAAGACTAAGACTGAGGATACACTTTAACCCTCCATGTCTCTCACTCTGGACAGAGACTTAAAATCACACATAAAAGTGAGCTTCCCTTTGGTAGAATGAATATTTTCAGCAGAATGAATGGAGGTATTTTAAGAAACAAGGAAACTTGAAATTCCTTATTTGTGTCTTGAGTCTTCGTATATGTCATATAACCCATTTTGAAAAGTCAATGTTAAATGCTTTAATTCTGCCTATAAATTGGATCATTTGAAAAATGAACTTTAATCATGGTCTAGAGCTGTACCAGTGAGGGCCAAGAAATGGTCCAGTATTAGACACATCGTGCTCTGTGGCGTGCTTCCAGAGCCCTCTGCTTTAATGTTCACAGGGCTCCCCAGGCAGGGACATTGGATTCAGACAGGCCTTTGCAGCCACTTTCTGACTCAGACGTTGGCGAGCTAGCCCAGGGTGCTTCTTACTGTCTTACAGCCTTACCTGTTTCAGGCTGGTGTTTTTGTTTGTTTGTTTTTTGTGCTCTTGCTCATTGACTCATTGATAGAAACGGGCAAAAGAAGGCAACTCAGTAATAGAATATATTATTAGATACCTGGGGAAGGTGTTGGTTCTATAAATGTTTTCTTCATAATTATTTTGTAGCTCAGAAGTAAGTGAAGTTTAGCGCTGATGATCCTAATGGGTCAGTGTAGGGGTGGCTGAAATTACTTCCTAGTTGAAATTATTAGCTAAATATGTTTATGCTAAGCATTTATTTTGCATAATCAAGTTCAAATAACATGGAGTCAATTCCCTATAAAGTATCTTTTTGAGTGACTACACCATATTGAAATTAAGAAAAAGATGTATTATAAATGGCCACAATTAATAGTGCAGAAAAACAATTAATAGCACAGACAATCAAATGGGTGTGGGATACTTGAGTTCATTATAATCTAGTTTAGTGTGTGAGTTGCAGCCACTGGCTCTACAAGCCTTCCAGCTGCTTCCCATTGCAGAGTTGAGGGTGACTGAGGAATTTTGGCTCATTCTACAACGTTTTCATCATCATCATCATCAACTGGGATGCTTTTCATATTTAAGAGCGTGTCCTCAACACATATCACATGTTTTCAATCCTAAAAATACACCCATATTTTTGTATTTTAACACTTCTGATGGTAAGATACCCAGCAGTCAGTGTATACATTTGATGTGGTAAAGTTTCTTTTTTGTTGTTTTATTTTTTTTTTGCAAAAGCTGTGAAGATAATGGTGTATTTGTGCATTTCATATTCAATGTGATGTCATAACCTAGAACAACAGGTCACAGGCTGGCAGTCATAGGCTTGAGTCTGATATAGAGGCATTTTTGTGTAACTTGCAGTTTTTTGTTTGTTGTCATTTGGATTAATTTCCAATATTTTAAAATGTTGGAAGATTTCACTTGAGAATCAAGGTTTCTTGATAAATAAGTAGCGTTGGGAACCCTGGTCCTGCGCTGCCATGTGGCAGCTGTTGGACACAGCTATGTTGTATTTGCCCCCTTCGGGTAAGACATTTGTTCTCATCCTCACCCATATGGTTCATTGATTTATGTTGACTTCCTGGTTCCTGAAGCATTTGTGTTTGCGAATTACTGAGATCCTGACTAAGCTGCAGTAACAGAGACCTGAAAATACTGTAGCTTAAACAAGAGAGAAGTTTGTTTCTGTTTCCTGTTATAGCCCAAAAGTTGGCAGGCAGTCCAGTTGAGGTAGGACGCGCTGCTCCATGGGAATGGCCAGAGCACAGCTTTCTTTGATCTTGTTGCTCTAACACCAACCTCTTCTAGTGTCTTATATTGGTCTAACTGGTTGACGTTGGTTCACAAGTGCCTAGTTCACATGTCAGGCCACAGGAAAAAGAAAAGAGGGAAACTGGTAAACAGATGATTTCTTTTTATGTAAGTGATGCAGAAATTGTGTACATTTCATTGGTTAGAACACTGTCATGTGGCCACAACTAAATAGTAAAGAGGCTGGAAAATGTAGTCTTAAGCTGGGTGACCCTGTGGTGCCTTATTAAAATTGGGTTGATGGGGAGGGAGGTTCCATTACTAAAAAGTAGAAGGAGAGCTTGGATATCAGTGACATACAGCCATCTCTGCCACAGTTTGCATCCACTGGCCTGGGAAATACTATATCTGTAGCCAAATAACAGTGGCGATCAAATCTAGGGTAGTAATATGTTTATGGAGTGTATGGGTGAGAAATCTGAGGTTCAGAGGTTTGCCCTAGAAGAACACTCAGCAAAACAGTAGTAGAACCTCAGGTAGAACTTTTGTTCCTGTCTATTGCTCCTTCCATTTCATCTTTCCAATTCATAAGAGTAGTGCTTCATACTAGTAGAATTCTTTAAATGAGAAAATGATTTAGAAAACTCAGCAGCATTGGCACTTACAGTCTGGAACTTATTATCAGCTCAAATTAGGTGCCCTGACATGATCTGAATTAGCAAGCGCGGAGTATGCTTGCTGCCTTGCCCCCTTTCCATAGCTACGGCTATTTGGTCACTGCACTCTTTTCTGCTAAGCTCAGACCTCAGAATCCTTCTTAACTTAGTGCTCCAAGCAACCTCCTTCCAGTTGAAGGCAGTTGGCACATGAGATAAAATCTAATTGTCATCCTGCAAATGCATAATTGCTAGAATGTTTCTGTACCTTTCCCCTCTTTTAAAATTCATTATTTTGGGGAATGGTGGGGAAGAGTATGTAGCCATGGAAAAAAATCCTGATTTTCTCCTTATATCCCCCATGATATTTGCTGCTCTCTCCCAATCACTACTACCTATAATCCCTCACTTGGTTTCCTCTGTATCCCCAGCTAGCGAGCAAATAAAAATAATTTCCAGTTTTCAACTACCCTGCTATCTCTGAAAGAAGTCAACTCTTTTCAGTATTTTTTTTTCTTAGTATTTTATTGCTTTGTGGGGGGAAAATGTGGTGAGAAAGATAGGATAACAAAATAACATCTAGTGTAGATGCGATAAAGCTGGAGGAAATCTTAACATCATTGTATCAGTGTATCACTGGTCTTCATTGATTTTCTCACCTGTAAGCTTTTATATAAGCTGTATACTTTGCCTGAATCATTTCACACACACACATGCCAGCTCTCTTCCTCTTCTCTTGCCCTTTAAATCTAATTTGAATTTTGCTTCCTCATGAAGGCCTTTCCTGTAACATTTGACTAAATGAAGATACCTATGTGTTCCAATAGCACATGGGTTTCTGTATACTTTTTTACTTAATGTCATTTTTTTCCCTAGAAAACTAAGTTTATTGGGAGCACTGTGTCTCATTTATCCTTTGCTTTAGTCCCAGTACCCAGTTTGGTTTCTGGCCCTTAGAAATTATCAAATAAATATTGCTGAATCCGTGGATGAATGGTTGAGGGGGAAGATGGCAGGGAAGAGAGGGGTCACAAAGAAGACAGAAGAACCCAGTTTCTTAGGGGTGCCCCCTAGTTCCCACCTTGAGTCTTGGGGAAGAATGGGTTTTGGGCTTCCATAGCTAATGGAATACCTTTCCTGAGCATCTTACAAACATCTTATAAACCATGTCTCCCTTTTCTTCTTTTCAATCTCCAACTGTTTCCCTGCTATAGTCAATTTGCCCGAGATAGTCACACATTCAGCAAGTCTCATACTTTTGCATTCCACACCACTTCATTGAAAATAACCAAAAAAAGTTTTGAGACCTGACATGAGGTTACCAAGTTTTTCATAAAAAATGTGCTCTGTCTTTGACTAGAGAAGCCTGGTTTCTTTGCCTGTCACTCTAGTCAATGATGTTGAAACTATAGTGTGGAGTCTGGTTCTGCAGATGTGCCTCAGGAACCTGGGGGTGATGGAGGGTCATTGATCAAAAGCATCCTAATCATAGAGCTCCTTAATCAAATCATCACCGAAGCCCATTTTCCCAGCTCCTTTTTGATCCCTCTTTTCAGGATATCCAGCTGATCTAGGGAATCATCTTCCATAATTCTAAAACGTCTTATGAACAATGAAAATAGCACCTACAATTATTTTTTAAAAAGCCCATTTCACTTCACAGGTGTATTTTTTTTTTTACTTTCAATACCCTAGGAATGGAATTTTTGTGTTGTCATATCTGTATGGCATTCAAAACATAAAATATTTTGTTTTGTTACACTGTTAGGTTATGAAAATAGATAATGCATCTTTTTCAAGCACCTCCTTCCTTGAGACAAAACCTACTTTTCTCTTATTCTGGCAGTTTTAAATGTTATATTTTGAGAAATGCATGGTGTATTCCTCTGGCTATTGTTCTAAACTTAAATACCTCAGTTCCTTTTTGTTTTCTGTACTTTTCCTTTGACATAAAGAGGGAACATACCCTAAGGCAATAGAAACCCAAAGATTTATATTCTTATGTTGTTTACATGACAGATCGTATGTGTTCTTCAATAATGAAGGTTACCCATGTACAGACTTTAAGAACTAAATGGGACATTAGAGGATTTAGTCTAACCCTTCATTTTTCAAATGAGGGAACAGAGACCCAAAAAACTAAAATGACTTGTTTAAAAGTTGTAGATTAGAAGATCCGTGGTCAGCTAGGAATATTAATTGCAGGCAATAAAAACCTACTCTGGGCTGGCTGAGGGGCTCAGTTGGTCAAGAGCTCACTCAAGAGTAGGAGCTCTGAGCAACAGCGGTTCAATGCCCGGCCCGAGCTGAGCGGCCGCTGAGCTGCCAACAGGTGGCAGGATTTCTCAGCTAAAAAAGAAAAAGAAAAAAAAAGAAGAAACCTACTCTAATTAACGTAAATTTTGTTTTAAAAAATGTTTTTATTTGTCTCACCTAACTGTATAAAGT